CAAAGGAAAATTTTGAACACTTTCTAAAGAAACTATATGAATGGCCAGTGAGTACATACAAGAATGTTTACCAAAAGTAGTTACGAGGAAAAGGTAGATTAAAACTACATCGAGACAGCACTACATACCCACTAAGAACCAATATAATCAGAATCAACAATACAGCAAGTATTGGCATGGAGGAAGAGCAACTGAAACTCAGACGTTAGTGAAAAAGCTAAATGAGAAAACGATTTAGGGAAACAGACTGATGATTTCTTTTAGTTAAGCTTTGGGCAATTCGGAGCCTATGTGAATGCCTAAAGGAAATAAATCTTGCATCAGCAATGAAGACTTACACATGAATGTTTAGTGTCTTACTCATGATTACCAAAAACTTAAGATGTCCAACATGTGAATGGATAAGCTGTGGTATGTCCATCTCTGTAACACTGCATGCAACCCCGCTGTGAATCTCGGAATTGTTACGCTGAGCAAAAGAAGCCACAGAATTCTATGAGTAAAGGCAAAACTTACCTGTAGTGACAGTATTACCAATGATTGCTGAGTCTTAGAGACTCTTACTAGTTACAAAAATGTATGAAGAAACTTTGTGGGAGGGAGAAGGATACTACTGTGTGGGGTAATGGATATTCTTTGTTTGATTGTGGTTGGTCATTACCCAGGTGTATGTATTTTCTGGAACCCATTAAATTAAACATTTAAAAGTGATGCATTATGTGGTGGTGTAAACAAATCACACCTCAATAAATTTTATTTTTTAAAAGTGAAAGAAACTAAAAAGATTAAATGAAAATGGAATGGAGGTCATCATAAAGCACAACTGAGAAATCTAGAAACTACTTCTTGGCAATTTTAGTTATTTTTAAAGTGATGAGAGAAGTAGCAGGATGTCATTCCCTTCAGTCTTGCCCACTGTCCATGACGGGAACAGAGGGTATCAGAGCAGCTGTTACTTGACACTGTCTCACCATCACACCTGCCAGTCCTGACAGCTACTGAGTTCTCCAGGCATGACTAGGGTATCTGAGGAAAGATTGAGCTTCAGCCTGAAGTCTGATGAACCTTTGTAGAATTGTGTAGAATTAGGTAAATGGTGGCTAAAATGCAGATGTTTAAGTGGACCACCGGTCAGGTTTTAGAAGCAGTTAAAAATGCAAGAAAATAGCCAGGTATAGTGGCTCACACCTGTAATTCCAGAACTCATGAGGCTGAAGCAGGAAGAGTGCTGTGAGTTCAAAGCCAGTCTGGGCTATGTGAGTTCAAGGCCAGCCTGAATTACGTAGCAAGACCCTGTCTCAACCAAAAAAACTAAAATACAAGAAAATAGCAAATTTGCATGAGCTATTAGGTCAGTGGTAGCAAACCGATAGCATGCATGCCACAGCATGTTTATTTGTTTCACTGAAAGTTTTAAAAGGTTGCCATCACTGTGTTAGGAACTTTTCAAATAGACCAGACTGGTAGTCAGCCAGGTAGTGCACCATAGTATTTGAATCTCAATAAGGCATTTGAATATATCTTTCAGGGTAATCCTAAAAATAAGGGAGAAATGTAACACCAGTTGTCAAGATTTAACTGGGTTTGTAACTGGAGGACTGATAATACCTGAGGCTAGTAAGCAGGAAGGAGATATTTGTCTTTATTCCTCTGTTAAATTTGATGAGCATATCTGGAAGTAACTTAAATGAGGACATCATTAGAATGCTGATCTTTAAAAACCCATTTTTAGTGAAAACTATAATGTTTTAATAAACTGAAATTTTAAAACATGTCTACAAAATGCAAAATCTTAATTCAGGTGTAAAGAAGAGAAGCTTACAAGTGTAGGGTGGGGAAAATACTTTATAGGAGCAATTCAAGAAGAAGAATTTGGGGGCTTGAATTAAACATAATTTTGTAAGAGTTCACTGGGTGACTCAATAAGAAATGTTTTATACCCACCACAAGGGAGATGAAGATGAAAATCTCACTCATTTGTGTTGTGAGATCAAATGTGAAGTACTGTATTTAGTCTGTGACATCATGTGATGCTGTTTAAAAAATAATGCTGAGCTGGAAATGTAGCTCCGTGGTACAGCACTTACCTGCTTGTTCAAGCTCCTGAGTTTAGTCGTCATTATTTCAGTAAATAAATGAATAAAATAAAAAGAATGTTGAAAAGCTGAATCTTGGATAAAAGCTTGAACGGAACAGTATAGAGAACAAGTTTTACTACATAATTTTCCAGCTCCAAGATTATATGATCCTTCAGATAGACACTCTTCAAAGAAGAGAATTCTGTGGAGAGAGTGTGATATTTGTGTAGTTGATAGCATGTTTGTTCTTGCCTCGTGCTCTTGTAACCCTGATTCTCCTGTAAACCTGTAACACTTTCCTTAACATCTTAAAAGGTAAGAGGGAGGTCCAGTCAGTTATCCTGAATAATGGATCCATTTCTGCATCATTTATAGCAAGTGAAGTTGATTTATTCTTGTTTCCTTCCCAACATCCAACTAATTGTGTGGTTATTGGCATCTTCCATTATAACTGGTCAGTGCTTACGAAAATAGATTGTAGCCTTTCCCTGTATTGAATGGTTTGGGATAATAATTACTCTGAAACTTTAATTATGTAGAGATTGGGATGTGACATTCATCTTTTCTAGCTGGAGGATTAAGTTTCTTTTCAGCCTCCCATTATGCAGTCCAGGACTTTTCCTCTTTTGCCACTTTGGTTACAAAAACGTAACCAAAAGAGAATTATTGCATGAGAAAGAAATCAGGAAAGCATTTGTAACCATAAAGGATTACACAGATATAAGGTGGTATGATTTCAAATGGTAGCTCTGTGCACCCTGGCCTGGAATAGATTCATGCTACCCAGCTTCTGCTGATTATAACACTAGCTCAGCTGTCGCATTTATGTCTTGTTAATTATCCAGTACATACTGACCAGAGATTTTCTCTCCTCAACCCACAAGTTCCATATCTACTTTTCCTTGCTGTACTTCTTTGCATCAAATTTGCTGAGAGGCTTAATGCTGTCCATCAAGAGCACTTCTGTCTTAACTTTATCGTGCTTCCATAGTTTCATCTTTCCCTACCATTTGGTGTGGTTGAACTTCACAGAAGAATCTCTCCTGTATACTAGATCCCAAGTTCCCTGGACTGAAAAACTGAGCTCTCCATCACCATTACCGTTTAACCCCTTTGTTTCTCAGGGAGTCCAGCTCTTCCCATCTTGAAAAGGCTTCTGATTGAGACCTATTTGTCTCCACCTGTTATCTTTCTCTATCACCCCAGCGCATTTTAAGCAAATGAGACCTATAACTGACTTAAGATTTTCTTTCAATGAAGAGTGACACAGTATGCTATAGTAAAAAAACACAGGGTGAAATCATGACAAAAAGATAATTTTAGATTGTGGTAAATGCTTCAAGAGAAATAAGCATTTCCCTCAAAGATGAGAGAGTTAACTGGAGAAAAAAGGCTACTTTGGATAAATAGTAATTTTTATTGTTTTTGGTTGGTTTTTTTTTGGTACCGGGAATCAAACTCAGGACCTTGCACTTGCCAGGCAGGTGTTTGTGCCGCTGAGCTATATCCCCAGCCATAAATAGTAATTTGAAACAAAAATTATGTCCAAAAGTTTCAAAATCTTGATGTCTAGGAAAATGAGGAAGCTTACATGAAGATGAGAAAGCAGAAATAATCTGTTATTTATAAATCTTCTGTTTTTAACATGGGTCGTTACATGATTATGATTAAAATGTTTAAATTTTAAATCCTCATTTAAGGCAGAGCGTATTTCTTAATAGTCATTGTTAGATTTCATAGTCTTGTGTATCTGTTTTCCCCCGTATTAAATGAAGAAAAATAACCTGACTAGGACATCATAAGCATCTTACTGTAGTTGACTCAACAGACGTGTATTACATTAACATACTTGCCTGGCCCTGGCAGGCAGTGGAGATAAATAGAATAGCCCTTTCCTTCAGTGATCACAACTAAAGGAATTTTTACAGGTAACATAGATGGTTTACATGTATGAGTGACTCGTTTTAGAGCAAGTTTGTGTCTCACTAGTTTTAATAAGGTGTTTGAAAGATCTTACCATCTTTAAAATAGTTGTAATTGGGGCTGGGGATTTAGCTCAGTGGCACAGTGCCTGCCAGGGAAGCATGAGGTTGTGAGTTCGATTCCTGGTACCGGAAAAAAAAAAAATAGTTGTAATTTACCAAACATATTCTAGTAGAGTTTAAATAGAAAGCAAAGGGCCAAGGATATAGCTCAGTGCCACGGTGCCTGCCTGGCAAGTGCAACGTCTTGAGTTCAATTCCCAGTACCTAAAAAATAAATAGAAAGCAAACACATTAGTAAAGCTGTTATTTTAACTGCTACGAGTTGGAAGTTAAAGATCAATTTCATCTAATGAGTGTTCAAAAAGATGAATTTCAGTTGGGTTAGTCATGGGAAAGTTTCACTCAGGAGTGAGAACTTGGGGCCAAGGATATAGCGCAGCGGCGCAGTGCCTGCCTGGCAAGCACGAGGTCCTGAGTTCACTTCTCGGTACCCTCCCGCCAAAAAAAAAAACCAGTGAGAACTTCTGTTCCATCTAAATGGATGAATATGAATGGTAGAAAGTGATGAAACCTGACTTGGGGAGATGGTGCAGGAGGAAAAAGCGCTGAACAGAGGTGGGATTCGTGTCAAGGGGTATTTCCAGAACATGGATAAATAGGCTTGACTGGGATGAAAGGTTTGTATTTCGAACTAGTAAAAGATAAAAGCAGAGTCTTTTAATGGAAAACAGAATTTTTGGCTGTACATAGTAATGTTTCTATAATCCTAAATTCATTTACAGTCAAGTTTTATATTATGTAAAACTTATCACAATGTGCAGATTTAAATTGTACCATGATTCTAAAGAAGTCTTTACACCCCTAAATATGTTCTGTAAATTTTAAGACCAGAGTCCTTTATTCCCTACTCAGGTTACAATAATGTTTTGTTTTTCAGTTACTTACACGCCAAGTCAATCATCCACAGAGACCTCAAGAGTAATAGTATCCTTCCTGAAATTTGTCTACGAAGTTTGAAAACATCCTGACCTTTTCTTCTGCATTTTGTCTTCGCATTATGTACAGTTTTCATGCTAAGTTCAGTAGACTCTAAAAATTAATAATCATTCTGCATGAAAGTTAGTAGAGCTGGCCTTTGGTTTCTGAATGACTGAGCACTACAAGAAAATCTATCAGAAGCCTTCGTAATAGTAGGGTTTTCTGACTGCTTGCTTACGTTCTGCCTGCACTGTAAAAAGGATGAATTTTATAGCTACCTCCTAGTTTTAACAGTGAGGTGAGAAAAACAATTTTTATTCTTCCCAATGCCCAGACTAAGATCCTGTCTCCTGGGGTCTCTATTCCCGTGAAGCACGTTTACAGCTTTCCCAGCCATGCTAAAGGATATCTGGACCTGCATGACCAAAATCAGATGAAAGAGTTTTCAGATCTCCTGTAGGCATAGGAATGTGTCTCACTTCATCCTCACACATTTTCGGCCTGAAAAAATCTTAAAAGCAGATCATACAGGCTAAATAGAGCTAATTATTATTTAAAACATACTTACTGACCTCAGGGAAATACAGACTACTATATTTTTTAAAGCATGTCATGTTACAGAATTATAGAAACTAGATTTTGTACCTAAAATTTTCCTAGTGCTTGCTCTAATAGGAAAATGAGATACAATATTTTCCTTTACTTACTGTGCCTCAGATATATTTCTTCACGAAGACCTCACGGTAAAAATAGGTGATTTTGGTCTAGCCACAGTGAAATCTCGATGGAGTGGGTCCCATCAATTTGAACAGTTGTCTGGATCCATTTTGTGGATGGTAAGAATTGAGGCTGTTTCTCCATGGATTACATTTTTTGACCCTGAAATGTTACCGAGTTATTTGAAAGTTTCAACTACAGTATTTTCATAGCTTTCAGTGTTCACACAAAAAAAATGTTATTCTTATGTAAATAGTTTCAACCTTTTTATCTTTAAAAAGAATATTACAGACTCAGTTTCAGTATGTCAAATAAAAATACACATTTTGTAAATGCTGTTTAAATTCCACTCAGAATTCTGTTTTAAAATATTTTGTGTTCAAAATGTTCTATGTCCTGTTTAAAAAAAAAAAAAAGGTTTACAATTTAAGGCAGGTGTGATCTACAGCCCTTATCCTGGTTTTGCTAAGAGAACTATTCCTTTTAACAAAGAGGCTATTTCACAATCTTATTGAAACCAAAATTGAAAAGTTACTTCCTTCAGGCTGGAAAGAACCTTATAATTATGGGGCAGCTGAAGAAGAAAGACAAAAGAAAAAAAGAGACTTTTAACAGTGTCATCCTTGTGCTGTCTTGTACAGCTCTTTTTTCTCTTTATTCCTATTTCTACTTAGTGGAAAAGAACAGAGCTAAAAATTCTGCAAGTTACTGCAGGAAGCCAGTGAAAAATCAGCTGTTAAATCATTTGCAAACCACTGCTTCTCAAAGGGTCCATAAGACCTTGCAGGAGCCCCACAGGGTCGTCTCCTCGTAAGACCAGATTTCTTCATGTCCTTCAACAAAACCACACGTTGAATGCAGAAGCAAATACGAGAGTCCATCTGGCTGCTGTCATCAGACATGAAGGGAATCACAGTTCCATTCTCGCTGAACTTTGTTTTTAAAAATGTAATTATTTTTTTAATTAAAAATCAGTTTTTTGTCAGGTGTTGGTGGTGCACACCTGTAATCCCAGCACTCTGGAGGCTGATGCAGGAGGATCATTGTGAATTTGAGACCAAATGAGCTCAAGGCCAGCCTGAACTGTATAGTGAGACTTGGTCTCAAAAAAATAAAAATTAAAATAAGTTTTTGTGTTAACATCTAATGGTTATTTTAATATTTGAATGGATTACTGAGTATTTTAACAGTTTCTCATTTTAAAATGATGGATACCCACAGATACAGTCCATATAAGCAAAAGCTTTGTAGGGTCTTCAGTAATTTTTAAGAATAAAAAGTCCTGAGACAAAAGAATTTCAAAACCACAGCACTAATCTGAATATATAGTTATCCCAAAAATCTTAATGTAATTTCAAGCATTAAATAATCTAATCTTCACCTAAGACTTTTGGAACACGTGAATAGAGACAGAAAAGTTGCAAGAGCTTTCAAAGTCATATTTGGCTAAATTCCCTGAAATGTATGCAGCAGTCCCCAAGAAGAGAATTCCAAGGTAGGATTCTGAGTTGGTCACGATAAGCCTGTGATTAAAGTGAGCTACAATTTCTCATGAAAATAAATGGAATTAGGGTAGGTGGAAGGGTAGAAGAGAAGATACTGGACTTAGATCTGTACTAACTTACAGGTTTCTTAACCTGCTCTAAGTCTCCCCATTAGACCTGCGAGGTTGGACTGGTGGGTTTTTAATGTCTTTTCTAAGATTCAGTAATTATAAGTAGCTAGGTTTTTTAAAAAAAAGTTAATATGTTTTTAACTTTTAATTAATAATTATAAATAAGCTAATTAATGTCTGTAATCTGGACCCCAAGCTCTTTGACAGCACACCACTGTAAGAAAGATGGCAGCCCACCCAAAAAGATGGAAGCAAACTTAAGTGCTAAGATTGCAGAGCCCCAATTTAATACAGACAAACCAGTCAGACAAACACATAACGGTGTGTTTGTTTTAACTAGAGTGGGAGAGGAGCTCAGTCAAGTCTCTGTCCTTCCTTTTTCAGAAACCTCAGATTATACAGTTAGAACATTATCATATAAGAAGTTCGCTATTTTTTCCTAGTTACTTTTTTGTTGATAATGGGATGGATGAGTTCATCCTTTATCAAGCTGAGACAAGAGAATAGCCAATGTTGTTAAACAAAACTTTCTGGGTTGATACGCCTGGGGACCATCCACAGACAGAGAAGAGTTTGGTCAGAACTAAAGTTATGTGGTCCTCTGGATTATTTCTAGCAGTCTCCTCAACTTGCTTTTATTTATATCTTAGAAGAGAAACCTTTGTGAAGATGTTTGCAAATTAAAGTCACTAAAATGAGAATCAGTCATGGGTTTCTTGTAAATAGGTAACATACAAGTTTTCACCAAACCACCAGCAACAATGGAGAAACCAAACTAGAGTTCAAAAGACAGTCCTTCCTGGGAATGGTGGTGCATACTTGCAACCCCATCTGCTTGGCAGACTGCAGCAAGAAGATCCCAAGTTCAGGCCAACTTGGGCAACTTAGACCCTGTCTCTAAATAAAATTAAAAGTATTGAGGATGTAGCTCAGTGTTAGAGCACCTCTGGCTTCAATCCCCAGCACTACAAAAAAAAGTTAAGGTTTATATGGTGGCACATGCCTGTAATCCCAGCACTCAGGAGGCTGAGGCAGGTGGATCCCCAAGAGTTCGAGACCAGCCTGGATTACATAGTGAGGTCAGGGCCAGCTTGAAAGACATAGTGAGACTCTGTCTAAAAAAAAAAAAAAAATATATATATATATATATATATATATATATATATATATATATACACATATATATTCTGTGCCTCACAAAATTGATTCAGGCTTTAAAAATGATGTCTTTATCATAACCAGCCACTTATTATTCTGGCTTGTTCATTTTATCACAGTTATATGTATCTTATTTTATACTGTGCTATCTCACTAAAAGTAACCATCAACAAAATACATGACAAACACAAGTGGATGTGACCTTCACCACCAATAACCTTTGACTGTCTTCAGAGTATGCTATAGTACTGTTTAGGTCCTACCCCTAGTTGTAACATTGTACTGCTGACCTAGGTGTAGTCTGGGCACTGAGAGATTTAAAGGCTCCACACATGATTCTGATTTGCAGCTGTAGTTGTGAGCCATTGTTCCTTATCCATGTGAGATGCCTGCCTTACCCAGACTACTTACCTTGGGCTGTCCTGCAGCGATATTTGCAGTTAGTAGAGCTTTTGCTATCAAAGTGATGTTTTCACAAAGTTGTCATTAACACCCGTGCAACTTCTACAGTTCCTTTCAAATGAAACAGTACAGAGATAATAAGGTGAAGGAAAAAATCTCTTAAACTGACTGTTAACTAGTCATTTGTTTTTCGTCCAGTGGTGCATGCCTATAATACCAGCACTCTGGGAGGCTGAGCCGGGAGGAATGCAAGTTCAAGTGATTTACCAAGACCCTGTCTCAAAATAAAAAAAGTTTAGAAATGCTGGGGATGTAACTCAGTATAAAAGCCTTCACCCCCTATACTGGGAAAAAACTAAACAAAACTTAGTTGCACAATGTAGTGACAACTGTATAAAAATGTGGCAGATGTGAATTAGTCTGTTTCTTTATACAAGAACCAGCAACCAAAAAATTCTTTAAATCATCTTCTACTAAATCTGCCTGCTACTGCTTTTGTTATTAAAGCATCCATGCTTGTTTATACCACATATTTATTCCATGGCTTGGAAGGGGATGAGTTTATCATCCTTAAAATTCTACCGTTACTTTCTAAGGTGCCCTGAGATAAGGAAGATACTTTGTGCGATTAGAAACACTTGTTTTAAGACAATTACTACAGTAGTTTTCCCTGCTCCTCACCTTCTTCTAGCCACAGGTCTAGCATTTCTTTGCTGAGCTGGGAATGGGAAGTGGGAACTGGCTCGTAGGGTGAGTTGTGGGGAGAATTGAAATGACAGTGACAGTATTTGTTCAGAAAGAGTGACTGATAAAATTACAAAATCTCAGTGATGCAGTTTGGAGTCTCAGCCCAGACTACACCTTTAAGAGTTCATAATACGGGCCAGAGATCTAGCTCAGCGGCATAAGCGCTTGCCTGGCAAGCCTGAGGTCATGAGTTCGATACCCAGTACCAAAAAAAAAAAAAAAAAAAAAAAAAAAAAACGGAGTTCATAATGGGCTTTATTTGGCCATTAATAAGAGAATTCGTTACAAAATAAGTCTTTAATGATTAAACATTGCTCTGGGAATTGCAGTTTATATTTTCAGTCTGTTCAGTAGAAGTGGAGAATAAACGAGAATATTTTTCTTCTTATGTTCTAACAGGCACCAGAAGTAATCAGAATGCAAGATAAAAACCCATACAGCTTTCAGTCCGATGTGTATGCATTTGGGATTGTTCTATACGAACTGATGACTGGGCAGTTACCTTATTCAAACATCAACAACAGGGACCAGGTACATTTTTACCATCTTTGAGAGTTTATTTTGTATTTGTATAAAGACTCAAATTAATTGCAAGGAAAAAGTATTGAGTCCCAGGTAGACGTGAAGGGCAGATCTCTTGATCTTTGTAACCAGGTTTAGAAATCTTTTGCATACTCTTAGCAGTAATAGCAGTAAGGCCCCTCATGCAGTGAAGTGAAATTCCTGATGCTGTGACTAAAAACTAGAGATCCATAATGAACAATGCCTCAGGTTTCCTGACCGTAGCGCAGTCAAACTAATGAGCTGTGGTACCGCAGCACGAGGGCTTTAACCTTCTGCTGCGTCGCGGACTGTACTATCAGAGCACGTAGTTGGCTAGGTTGTCTTTTTTTTGTTTGTTTTTTGGAGGTTGAGAATAGGAGATATTTATTGAGGGAAAGATAGCTTTTGCGTAAGAGAACCAGAAGAGAATCCAGAAAGCGGATGCTCCCGTGGCTGTATTTGTCTTTATGGCACATTCTTCTAAAATTATTTCTGGGTGTGGTAGCTCACCCCTGTAACCTTAGCACTTGGGAGACTGAGGCGGGAGGGTTAGCATAGGCTCAAGGCCAGCCTAAAGTGTGCACTGAGACCCTGTTTCAAAAAACAGTAACAGTAAAATAAAATTTAAAATACTAAGTTTTTAAAAATTTTAAAACCATAAAAGGACTGTTACATCATGCTTCAATTTTTCTATAATTAGAATTGAAGTAAAAGGGAAATATTTTTGCTTTTTCCTCCTTCCTAAGTTACTATTTTTTGTCCCTTATATTCTAAATACCAGTATATCCTCATGCAAGTGTTTACCTTTTCTATCTTTTCACAATAAATTCACTTAGGCTTTTAAAACTGGCCAAGGAAAGTGAATTGTCTTACTGAAATTACCTTGGATACCTCAACATTTTAAAAATATGTGAATGCACACATGTGCATGTGAAGAGACAGATTTCAGAAATTAAACTGCTAACATACTACAAAATAATAGTTGACTGTAAATATAATTAAAGAATATTGAGATTTTATACTAAGGTTTGCATCAGAATCCCCTGGGAAATTACTTAAAAATAGATATACTAGAGTAGATTCTAATTGAATAGGGTAGGGTCCAAGCATTCAATATTTTTAGTGCTTTCCATGTGATTCGGAGACATTCCAGTATTGAGGATCACCAAAGAGTAAAACCAAAAGGGTGTGAACTTTTAACTTATTTCATCATGGTAGGTTTTATATGTAAATGTTACTTCATTTAAATGGTGTATTCTTTTGGTTAGTAATAGCTCAGCACTCCGGCTTTTCAGTGACAGCTCTGAAGAGCTCACTTTCTTCAACTGTCATGTGATATCCAAGAAGTAATTCAAGTTATGCTATCCTATCTTGTGCATACTTACTGAATCACTGTATCCCCTGTATCCAAGAGGGGTCCTAATTCTGTGTTTTATGTATTTTTAAAATGACTGTATTTCTTCCCGGTTAATCATGAAGCTAAATTTCAGTTGCTTTTTGGTCTGACAGCTTCACAGCTGTAGAATGTTGAGTATTGTCTTTAAGTATTAAACATAGTACCTCAGTTCTGATGATCAGATTTCTTAGGCCTGCATGAAACTTATATTCAGGGTAGACAAAATACTAGCTAAAGAACATAACTGAAGCATTGTACTTACTGTACTTATGACAGATCTTGATCACTGAGATAATTAACTTGATAAAAGCAGTCTGAATAGCAAAATTGTCTCTTAATTTGCCATCCTCTGTGCTCTGACTTTTATAAGTAGTCTTACCATATTAATTTATTAATTAACAATAATATCTGTGTCATGTTCATGTTTCCTATGCATATTATTTTTCTGGAATAATTGCTAGGGATTTTAAGTATAATTTTAGTTGATTTATCATACAGACTTATCAGATTATCACATAGATTTATCAGATTAGTAAAAATGCGTGAACCTAAGATCTGTATGAAATCCGTCACTAAGCTTAAGAAAATTATACTATTAAAAAAAAAAAGAAAATTACACTATAGAAACAAGCACTATTATCTCCAAAATATGGATGAAAGTATCACAGAGTTCTGCACTCACTTACTTCCTGGCATTTTAGATGCTTTGTCCTCCCTGGGAGTATAATAAATGGTGTGACAAGGGCTTACTCTCTCTGAGAGGAGTGAATGAATGAATGACCAGCAAAAGGGTAAGGCCTTTCTATTTAATTCCTTCTAGCAGTACAGTTAGAGCCCCTGAATTTGCCTGTATGAAACCAAGTTAAGTATTTAATAGAGAAGGAAGAGGTGAAAGAATGGTACCCTTTTCCTAGGACCCCATTCTACGTTAGTCCCTGGTGGCCTGCTTTCTTCAAATGGTACTTTCTGTGGACCTTCTCATTTTGAAAAAATAACTGTGGTCACTCTCAGTGAAGTAACCCTAGATGCCGTTCCTTCCACCCATCTTCTTGCTTTGAGTTTTCTTGCCCTTGCTCTTAGAGCCTGATCTCCATGGCTTCAAGATGAGAGTTCTATTTGAGAATCCAAGAGCAGTCATCTTTTTCATGGGAGATGAGACAACTGCTTCTTTACTTGTTGTCGTAGTTACTTTTCTTGTTGCTGAGACAAAATACCTGACACCCAAAGTTAAAGGAGGAAAGCTCCTTTAACTCCTTTATTTAGCTCCTTTATTTAGCTCATAGTTTGTAGAAGTTCCAGTCCATAATCAGCTGGCTCCAAGCAGGGTGACATGGCAGACATGCATCACACAGGAGAAACAGTTCATGGTGGGCAGAAGGCAGCAAAGCAGCAAGGGACGACCACAGCTCTTTCTGCCCCTTATATCTTATCCAGGCTACTCATGGAAGGTAATCCCAGTGCCCTTGATCCTAGCATTGCACCATAAATCAATTCCAGTGTCACACACTCCAGATCCAACCACCTCTGAAAAAGCCCCACCTATGACTATATGAGGCCCTGGGGGAACACCTAGACACAGACACAACACTTGTAGTGCCCCCGTCCTCCATTCCCACCCCCATACTCTGAAGAGTGGGTTTTGCCTCTAAAGTCAAAGCAGAGCTCTGGTAAAGCAGGGTGAGATAATTAATGACAGGCCTTGAGCTCATCACCTGCTCATCTTGCCTCTCCTGGTTTGTTTTTTGTTCGATTGGACTAAACAGTTCCTTTTATTTCTAAAAATCAGGTTATTTACTAAAGTAGACCTCCCAGCTCTCTGGACCATCTCTGTGGTCTGGATGGATGACCATCTTGATGTTACTACTTTGCAAAGTACCACACCTTTCTTTTTTTACTTTCCCTAGTGCTGAAAGTCTAAGAAATCATTTTCTCTTTTCTTCCCCTTCTTTTCATTCCATTTTCCTCTCCATTCACCCTATCCTTTCCTCTTTCAGCCCAGCCTCTCTACTAAGTCAGGATTAATAATAAATATTCTCTTTTAAACTAGACATATTGGCAATCCTCTTGTGGCTTTCTTTTCTTGGAGCAGAGGTGTTGTGTCTTCTTAGAAGAAAATAATAAGTAACATATCCAGTCATTATTTGTGTATAATAAATTGCCCAGAAATTAGGGACTTAAGTTATGAATCTTCAGTTTGAGTTGCTCTAGTGAGGAAGGTGTGTATGTATTTCAAAGATCTCAGCTAGAGTAGCTTGACTGGGTGCTAAAATGTTCTGCTTCCAATATGGCTCATTCACATTCCTGGCAAGTTGGTGCTGTCAGCTCATGTGGGTCTTTCCATGAAGACCTCTTCACGGGCTGCTTGGTCTGTCCCATTGGTGTGACAGCTGAGTTCTGAGCACAGATCTCAAGATAGAGGAAATGAGCTGGGCATGATGGCACACCTGTAACCCTAGCTACTCTGGAGGCTTATCATGGAGAATCCCAAGTTTGAGCCCCGCCTGGGTAATTTAGTGAGACCTTGTCTCAAAATAAAAAGGTCTGGGGATATAGCTTAATGGTAGGACACTTGCCTAGCATGTGCAAGCCCTGGGTTAAATCACCAGCCCCACAAAAAAGAAACAAAATGATGTGTACCATTCTTACCAGTATGCAAGTTATTTTAACAGAAAATATTTTCAGTATCTGCTATAGGCAAAGCACTGTGCAACACAGAGGGATTCAAAGATTAATAAAGCAGAAGCACTGTTCTCAATGTAGTTTACAATTCTGTTGAGGCAGTTTTGTTTGATACTGAAAGTGAGCAGCGTCCTCTCCAGGAATACTGTACTCAGAAGTGAAGGAGAGGCAGGAGAACCAGGAGTACCTAATGTATAGATTGAGACAAGCTAGTCCTAGAATTCTAAACCAAGGGACTCATTTGGTTATATGTGTCACGTGAATCTTCGTCTGTGAGTTTTATGCCGAAAAGACTTTTCCTTGTCCCTTCTTGCTGTTCCTTCATCAGTCAGCCCCCAGCTCTGGCAATGAAAATTCTACTTTGTGCTCTGCACTCACTCAATTCTATAAAACATACAAAATCAGACAGCTGTCTTTAATTTTTTTTCCTTTCATGCTCCTCCGGAAAGATTTTTTTTTTACACTATATACCTCTGTGTATATTTGTAAGTTGGCATCTAAAAAGTTTTATCTTAATCTTAAGTAACTACAAAGAACGTAATTTTTAGTGTATTCTGTTAACACTGCAAAATAAGGCCACTCTCTCCCTCTTTTTAAAATGTGAATAGTAAAATCTAAAAACCGTACTGATTTGATATTTACATGACTCATTCTAAAAACACAAAAACTCGGGCTGGGAATATAGCTCAGTGGCACAAGGTCCTGAGTTCAATTCCCAGTGCCAAAAAAAAACCTCTGCATTAATTTTAGAAATTTGATATGATTCCTTGTTTTCCTCTCAAACTATGGTGCAGTATTTTATTCCCTCCAAAGAATTTTATCCTAACGTAATATATTTTTTATGCTTAAAGCTTTTTATTGATTATTCAAGTTATAAATCTTGAATAAAAATATGGATATAAGTTTCAGTTTAAAACTTCTAAATTTCCTGTGATTTTAGGTTATTTTTTAAATTCTGAATTATGCCATTGTTATAATTTTTACTATATAACTGATGAAAATAATATTGTTTTAATATAGAAAGCCAGAAGGTAAAATTTTATTGGAAATACATATCATAATGAGCAACATGGGGCTTTTCTTTTCCCTTCAATTAATTTTTATGTCTGTGAGTAAATATGACTTTTTTTTTTACTAGAATGAGCTAGGGCTTAGTATTGATGCTTCTCCTTGTTTTATTTTTAGAAGTAAGTACTGAGAAATCTTATTCAAACAATAAGAAGATGAAAAAGGTAGGAGTTTTCTTATAGCTGTATGTGGAGTTTAGTGGACTTGTGAAAAATTCAGTCACAGTTTATTACAGGGAAAGAATATAGATTGAAATCAGCCAAGAAAAGAGATATATGGGGCAGAGGCAAGAGTGTTTCTCACATGGAGCTTCTGGTTATCCTCTCCTGATGGAGCTGTGCACAGTGCCAAATTCCCCCGCAGCAGTATGTGAAATAATGTGGAGATTATTTAATATATAAATAATTATATATTTAAATATATAATTTATAAATAATCAACAAAGTTTCCTGAGCTTCAGAGTCTAGGAGTTTTTAGGGCTCGGACTTACAGGTATGGCTGACTCCCCATGTGGCTGACCATAGTTTCCAGCCCTCCCAGAGGTCCAGTTGATAATACGTGACCCTGGGCCTCCTCTGTAAATCACATTCTTGGCATGGTCATGGCCCACAGCCTCCAGATAAACAGAAACTGGAAGCAGGCCGGACATCCCAAGAGCCTAGCGAATACCTTCACTAAGGAGCCAAGGGCAAAGATCTTTCCTTCCCCATGGGCAAGATTAATTCTTTACCACATACCATGTCACTCAATCACTTGAACTCTTTCCTGTAACACACCAAAAATTATATAGTAACTTGTCATGAAAAAAATACATTAGTAATGAGCTGACAATTTAGTCAATTCTGTTCAAAGCAGAGAATTAAAAATCAGCTGACTTGGGGCTGGGGGTATAGCTCAGGTGGCATAAGTGCCTGCCTGGCAAGCGCAAGGTCCTGAGTTCAATCCTTGGTACCAGGGGGAAAAAAAAAAAAAGATTATAAAAAAAAAAAAATCAACTGACTTGCAAAGGGATTTGTTACTTACTCATTCAAGCCTAATGAGATGCTAATATTTGGAAAGGTCCCTTTGATACTCCCGTAGTTTTCACGGTTTTGAGCAATGTAGATTCCATGTAGGTAAAAGGTAAACCTTTTATAAAGGAAGAAAAGGGCAGTTATCACAGAGGAGAGAGGCAAGAAGAGTAAGCTTTACACTTCAGGCAAATCTGTTTTTTGAGCAAGGGATATAGGTAAGTTGATAAGGTAAAAAATTAATTCAGTTAAAACTACAATGGGTATATACCTTTGGGAGAGTCTGTGTAGAACTAGAGATACCTAGTTTGAAGACTACAGGTATCTGACACTGCTTATTAATGAGAAAAAATTTGCTGTTAGCCTTGATGAGTTGTTAACTTACATATTGAAAGCCTCTTGGTCCAGGCGTATAGCTCAGTGGCACAGTGCCTGCCTGGCAAGCATGGGGTCATGAGTTTAATTCTTGGTACCAAAAAATTAAAGAGAGAGAGAAAGCAAGCCTCTTGTGTCCAGAAGATTATGTGAAATGCTGGGGCAGAGATGGTACGTAAGAAATAAATGTGCTGTGTATGAGACACAGTTCCTGCCCTCAAGGATCCATAGTCTCATTGGGGAACTTAGGTTAGTCACAAAAAGATTAATAACCACATAAGCAGTAAGTGATCATCACAGCTGTCAGTGGGTCACTTCTAGGTGTGTGAAAGGAACAGTATGATGAAAAGGTTAGAGTTCAGGAAACCCTTGATGCATCCAGATTTCAGATCACTAGGGAAGAGAATAAGGAGGACACTATGGGTACTGTAGCAGCCATAAGAATATGGTTAAAAGCAAATTGGTATTAGGTTCTTCTCCACATTTCTCTTTGTTACTTAACTGGACTGGTTATCTTGGACAAGTTCCTAGACTTGTTTAAACTTTGGATTTCTAGTTTATAAAATGAAGTTAATAGTTCCCTTGTAGAATTAGTCTGAGTATGAGATTAGATTACATCCATAATTCAAGTGTTTCAAAGTTTTGTAGCCTTCCAGGGCTACTACCTTGGATAACCAAGTGTGCATATCTAAAGTGCTGTCCTATATGAATAGATTTCTGAACCCTGCCTCTCAACTTCGAAAGTCCCTCCTTTGGCCAGGGAGATAGCTCAGCCGCACGGCACCTGCCTGCAAACCTAAGGTTCTGAGTTCAATTCCTGGTACATACATACATAAATAAATATAAATATATAATTTTTTTAAAATGGCAGTAGTGTAACATCCCACCAATATTGGTTTGTACTATTCCATTCATTAAAAGAAAAGAAAACCCCTCCTTGTGCTTTATATTTTACTGGGACTGCTTTCTCCAATCAAATCATGATGTTACGATTGATTAGCTTCAGAAGGGAGCAGTATAGGAAAAAACTACTTTGCTGGTATCTCTTCCCAACCTTCATCCTTTTAGCCTATACCACAGAGATCGCATTGCAATCAGAGCTTTACTGTGTAGGTTCATAGTTAAACAAGAGTCATTACAGCATCAAACAGGATATAACATAAGATGCTAAATGTGACTTGCTAAAGTTCATCAGCACTGTGCAGAATAAGGAATCCCATACTGGCTTTCTTCACCTTACTACTTAGTCTGCTGCTCTTGGACCTGTCCCCTCTAAGATCAGAACTCCCTCTCCTAGAACCAGGACTCCTATCATCTGTCTCTGCCTATCCTCAAAAGAGCCAAAAAGTAGAAAGTTAAGAAATTAGAAAACTCAGCCAGGGACGATAATACATACCTGTAATCCCAACGGTAATACAGGCTGAAGCAAGAGGATCACAGGTTCAAGCCCAGTCTGGCAACTTAGTGACTTAGCAAGACCCTGTCTCAAAATAAAAAATAAAGGGCTCGTGCTGTAGCTAAGTGCAGAGGCTCCTGGTTCAATCCCCAGTACCACATAGGAGAAAAAAAAAATTAGAAGACATAACTCTGTAGGGAAGACAAGCGTTTTTATTTTCTTAAGCAGGAGATTTTAACTCAATAGTTTCGTTTTCTTTGTGGAGGAAGCTCTGTTTCCCACACTAAATGACAAATACCCCACTAGATTTTCCTAGATTGAGTTAAAATACTGATGACTGCTGAAAAGGTTAACTTTTCTGGTTGCTGCTGCACATATTTAAAAGATCCACCACAACGTGATATATGGGAATCCAAGCACTCACGTTGTTGGTTTTTATTTTAACTTTCCTTTATCAGAGTGTAATATGCATATATAAAAGTCCAAATGTCATAAACATACAGCTCGTTGAATTTTCATTGTTTATGTATTTTAACTTATATAGAAGGTTGCATGATTTGGCTTTTTTTTTCCCTCCAGATAATTTTTATGGTGGGACGAGGATACCTATCTCCAGATCTCAGCAAGGTACGGAGTAACTGTCCAAAAGCCATGAAGAGATTAATGGCGGAATGCCTCAAAAAGAAAAGAGATGAGAGACCACTCTTTCCCCAAGTAAGAAAAACTGCATGCTGCCTAAAAATAGATTAACATTCAGAGGCAGATTTGTGAGCACTTTGGGGGGTACATAGTCTGTATCTCATAGGTTGAATACCATGTGGTATGTACAGACTCAGATAAGTAACCACAGGATAATGACTTTATAGGGGGTGAGCAGAAAATTGGAGTCCCAGTACAAAATACTCACAAAGACTTTGCATTTGTCTAGCAGTTTTAAAATATTTTGGTCTTAGAATCCTTTTCTTTTCTTTTGTCTTTTCCTTTCTTTTTTACACATTTAAAAACTATTAAAGAGCCCCCCAAGAGAGCTTTTGTTTATGTAAGTAATTACATACCAAACCAGAAAAACCAAAAAAAAAAAAAAAAAAAATAGAAGTGGTTATTATTTTACATTTTTCAAATGTTTTTGTAAAAAGATGGCTAGATTCTCTGCTTTTATATTTATTATACTTGTAATATCTCTTGTTGCCTCTCAGAATTCCACTTACACTTATAAAATAATGACAGCAAAAAGGCAAACAATATCTTATTAATGTTAGTAGTTTTAACGTACATGGCTTCTAAGAGGTCCACAAACCATACTTTGTCAACTGCTGCTTTAATTCTTCTTGATGGTAAAATTAAACAGCTAAGCTTCACTTTTATACAAGGTCTTTTTTTGTTGTTTTGTTTTGGTTTTTTGAGACAGGGCCTCGCTATATAGTCCACGCTGACCTTACACTCTTAGCGATCCTCCTGCCTCAGCCTCCCAAGGGCTGGGATTACAGGTATACTCTACCACACCGGGCCATGCTAGGTCTTTTTGAGAGACAGTCCCACCAGGGGCAGAAAGATAAAACAATTGTTGGTGCTATCTGCCTCTTGATTCTTTTAATTTCCCGTTGCTTTTTTTTTATTTTTCCATATCATCAGGCTAAAGCCCTTCCATTAATACTCTTTAGTAAGCCTCACAAAGAGCTGGTGGGTGGCATTTCCCTGTAGTCCCAGCTACTAAGGATGCAGCCAGTGTGGGAAGATTACCTGAGGCCAAGAGTTGAAGGCCAGCCTGGGTGACATAGCAAGACCCTTCCCACCCCATCTCAAAAGTGAAGCAAAGAAAAAGAAGCCTTACAGAGGACTGACATAAGTATCTGAACAAGCTTAGAGAGCTTAGCTGTAGTATGTAGGTGCAGGTTTCCTGATCCTTCAGAACTTCCTGATAGCATTGTATGAATATACCTCAATAAATCAATCAGTAGTTTCATATGGGAAATGCTGGCTGTCATAGTCTGTCACCATAATTACTGAGATGTTCCTTCATGAACCCATATGCCTTTGAATACCCAGTCCACGCTAGTTACTCAGACAAGTTACTGCTAGAGAAATGAGATTTGTTCATCATTTATTTTTTGAGAATTTTTCATCTGTAAGCAGTTTTAAAAGTTAGAATTGATGGCTTTAAGTGTCAGCAGCTGCTTCAGAGCAAAAAGGAGAGGCTAAATGGGTGGGTAGTTTTACATACAGGATTCTGTTACCGCTGCTCTGAGGAAGAGTTTTGGGATATTTACTTTGTTTTATTTTATTTTTTAACAAAAACACACTGGGCTTGACATCATCAAAGTGAAAAACTAGTGTTGTTACAGTGTCAGAAGCCCCAGTACGTGTTCTCTTTGTACATCCCAAGTGCTAGTGCTTCTTACTTAATTATTTTTTTGTTTCTTTGTTTTTTTTTAATTTTTTTTTTCCGGTACTGGGAATCGAACTCACGACCTTGCGCTTGCCAGCGCTGTGCTGCTGAGCTAAATCTCCAGCCCCCTAATGCTTCTTATTTAAAGGGGCAGTGTTTAAACATAATATTTCATTCACCCCATGCTATCAAAGAATGAAATGCATTTATGAATTCCCCAGATTAATGGAAGCTCCCCTTTTAATTACTATACATTTTCATTGCAGGTTACCTTTTCCTATCATACAATTGTATGCCAATTAAATCTTAAATACCTAATGATCTATGCCAGACAACTATAAAATACGAAGTCATTTTTATATAGTGTTGAGGGAAGAAAGGCTTCCCTAAGCAAGAGACAAAATCCAGAAGTTATAAAATTTAATGTAGTCTATATGACTACATTAAATTGTTTAAACTTCCACATTGTAAAAAATAATACTGAAAGTTAAACAGAAAAGTAATTGCAACATATATAACAAAGGTAAAAATTTGGAATATGCAAGGGGCTCCTGTAGATGGATAATTAGAAGACATTCCATGGAAAGTGAGCAAGGGTCATGCACAAAAGAAATGCAAATGGTAAATGAATTTAGGAAAAGACAGTTTTCAGTAGCAGTCAGTGATACCAGAGTCCTAGACCAGAGAGAGGCCTGATTGGGTGGGTGGATGGGGTTCCCAGCAGACCAGATTCAGTCTCTGGCTGCCCAGCTTCAGTCAAAAGGATGAGTGGTGATGAGGCCAGAAAGAACTTGATCCAGCATGGCCATACTGGAGAGGAAGAGGGGACCACTGACCTAAGCCCCATCTTCAGGGTACTGACAGGAGCTTCAGGATTATGTAGAGAACGGCCAAAGTGGAGGTCAAGAAGTACGCAGGCAGACAGACTTGGTCACACTGTGGTCTGGGTGATCATTATCTCAGGTCTGATTCTGTAGGGGTCTAGCACCCAGAGAACCATTGTTGCTGGAGAGGCAGTTCAGTCCCTGTCATGATCTGTCTGCAAGGTTTGCTCTTCTGGAACCTGAGATAAACAAAGAAGTAACTCAGAAAGAACAGGCCAGAGGAGCAATCAGGAATCAGGACAGTGATTGGGTCCTCCTTTAAATCCCCAGTTTTAGAAGACCTTTCCCCTTATTGAAGTCGGGCGTGGTGGTGCACACCTGTAATCCAGCAGTAAGCACTGGAGAGACTGAGGCAGGAAGATTGCTGTGAGTTTAAGGCCATCCTGGGCTCCGTAGTGAGTTCAAGCCTAGCCTGAAATGTGTGGCAAGACCCTGTCTCAAATAATAAAGTAAGATACTCCTGCTGGGCATGGTGGTGCACGCCTGTAATCCCAGCAGTCTGGAGGCTGAGGCAGGAGGATCGTTGCAAGTTCAAGGCCAGCCTGGGCTACGTAAGTGAGTTCAAGGCCAGCCTGAAGTGCATAGTGAGACCCTGTCTCAAAAAAATAAACTGTGCTCAGAACCTACTTCCATAAGTATTTAGATATATACAAGAATGCTTACTATCATAGTAAAAATTAAAAACCAAAATGAAGGTAGCTCTGTATGGATGCCATGCGTATAAGTAAGGGAAAAAGAAAACAGTGAGAGAACTGTGGAGTCTGATGCTGCTGTAGAAGGTGGTGAGGGTGGTCTGTGTTTGTGTGTGTGTGTGTTTATGTAGAGGAGAGACAGGGAGGGAAGTACAGACCCTATCAGGAGCTGCCCCTGGAGGGTGGCATTGAAGAGCCTTACACTTTTTCCATCTCTGTACTACTTAAATGTTTATTTGCATGTTACTCTTGGAACTTAAAAAACTCTGTGACACTGCTTATTTCTTTGCCTTTTTATGCTAATCTCTATAAGATTACAGGTAAAATAAAAAATAACTTTGGTAGCTCAGGATCATCATCATCACTGTGATGCTGGCTCCTAAAAGTTTGAGTGCCTGCCATGTGCCAACCCCTTTCACATGTCTCCTGACTGGAAATTGCATTCCAGGCTGTATGCCTTCAAGGGTCATAACCCGTTTCTTTGCACCTTAGAATACTGCATGTGAATTTTTACATTTTGTGGGCTGGTGTCTTTTTGTAAAATTTCCCTGTCTTTACCCTTGGGTTGTCACTTGGTCCTTTTTATTCATGTGCTGTTAGGGGGCTAGGTCAGTGGGTCCTACTTTTGGCTCTGTGTGTGAGACATTTCCATTGCTGAATTTCTTTAAAGGCGAGGTTCCTCAGCTGGTTCTGTTTCGACAGTCGTGTGGCGCTTTACTTACTTATACTCCATCTTCCTGCGAAGGGGACTTGCCGTCTGTGCCAAATAGGTGTATCGGCAGTCTTAAATTTGTAGTATTTTTTGTTCCAAGGCTGGCAAGTGATCTACAAGATACACAAAAGCTAACTATGAGTTACTTTGCCCATTTAGTTCACAGAAGTAAACTGTAGTATTGTGGTAGGTTTTTTTTTCTTTTCTTTTTTACAGAAGAATACCAATTTCTGTTTTTCCAGGCAATTGTAACACTGAAAATAATGTAAGGTACCAGGTGCTTTCTTGTAAAGTATAATGGGCTCTTAAAGATATACACCACCCAAATTTTCATTCTGCTTTCTGTTTTTTCTTTCTTTTTTTTTTATTTTGTTTTGTTTTGTTTTCTTTTTTTTCGTAGATTCTCGCCTCTATTGAGCTGCTGGCCCGCTCATTGCCAAAAATTCACCGCAGTGCATCAGAACCCTCCTTGAATCGGGCTGGTTTCCAAACAGAGGATTTTAGTCTCTATGCTTGTGCTTCTCCAAAAACACCCATCCAGGCAGGGGGATATGGTGCGTTTCCTGTCCACTGACGCAAATTAAATGAGTGAGAAATAAAGGAGGGTAGCAACAAAAGTAAAATAAATGAACATGTTTGTTTATATGTTAAATCGAATAGGATATTTTTTAAAAGTGAACCAAAAAACACTTGTGTGTTTAAAGAGTAGATATTTTTCTCAACCTAAAATTGATAACTAACATTGGATTTTCAGTACCTATGGGTTGAAACACAAACATTATTAAAACTTGGCAGTGCCTCCTCCAGAGATTCCACTTTCAGTTCCAAGTTTATTCCATTCACTTGGTCATTCCGATTATTAAACCTCAGTCTTCTCTTTCAGTTTGCTCATGCAGCGTTTGACACTAGCTATCACTCATCGCTAGGGATGCCCAAGGAAGACCACGCCTGTGCTGTGCACGGAGGGAAGCTGGCAGTAGTTAGCCTGCCTCAGTGTGGCAGACTGAGCAGACCCAGCGTAGGAGGTCCCCAGAGCTGAGGGACCCTACTGATTTGATAACTATTTTATTTTACTACCGTTTAGAACATGTGGCTGTCCTTTCTTTCCTGGAAGCAGTAGACTAAATAGCTTTTAGTAAATTTTGGTGCAAATGACCAGAGATACAGCTGAAGGAGTGACATGTTTGAAATGATTTAGCTTTGAGTTTATAGTGGGAAAATGTTAGAAGTTGGAGTTCCTTTTAGATAATATTTCTTTATATATTAACGATGTCTTACACCTGTAGAGGTCAGATTTTCTTGCAAACGCATTGCCCCCTTATGCTCACTCTCTTCTCTCCAAAATTATTTCACAGAACCTGTGAGAATTTACAAGTTCATTTTTCATTCAGACTAACTCTGGTTGCCAAACAACCAGGTAATGAATTTTTAAGTTATTACTTTAGATGATACTTGTGACACACATTGTAACAGTCACCTTATTAGGTCTCCTAAAATTTCTTTTCTTCTTTAAATTCCTTGTCCAGCAAGATTCAGCTCATGCTGAATACCTGCTATTCTTTTCCTGCATTCCACATTATGAAGTAGTTTTAACACATTTTCTTGTGTAGAAAATGACTAATGTGGCAATTGTACAGAACACTCCTTACTGTGAGTCAAAGAGGATCAAAAAGGAGGGAAGCAGGATTGCGGCCTTTTCAACAATACTGCCACCTCTGCTTCAGCTTAGGGACCAAAGCCAGCCTTCTGTGTTCACTTACTCAAATTAGATTTGCGGTAATTTTTAGATAACAGCCAACAGCTAAAAGTTATCTCAGCAGAAGGCAATATCTGCATACATGCCATCGTTCTTTGAAGTCAATAAAGAAAAAAATTAGGAAGACTTTAATGATAATTAATTTCAAGTAGCACAGCTAACTTTTGAAATACTTACATTTCATCAGGGAAACCGCTCAGTAATGATTACAGCATACTTTTGCCCCTTAGTTGGGTAGTTTAAGATAAACAGTGCCATCTTGAATCTTACATTGATTCATGAATTTTAACATAGTGGGGAAAAAAACACTTTGCATTTTTAAAAAACAAGAATAAGAAAAAGATAAAATCATATAACATGTTAGCAGGGCACAGTGGTGCTGGTAAATGAAAAAAATAAAAAGAGCTGGACTGTACCTCAGTAGTAGAGTGCTTGCCTAGCATGCATTCACAGGCACTCACTTCAGTCCCCAGAGCCACCCAAAAAAAGTAACATGTTGGAAAACATCAAAGTTCATGATTTCTAAAGCCTCCAGTGACACAAAGACATGAGTGTTAGTAATTAATAGGTGGAGTTATATTTATTTACAAACAGAATAGCAGTGGTGTAGCTAATACTGTTTTACAAAATTGACTTGGTCTATAGGGTGTTCAAATGGTTTGGGCATTTTGAGAACATATTCAAAGGGATTTCTTCTTTTGTTTCTGGCAGTGCTGGAGACTGAATCCAGAACCTCACATTTCAAAGGCTCTTTTTCAGGAGTAGAACTCTTCTAGTACTCCCCAGTCTGTGTCACTTGTAGGTTCACTTGTGGGTTCCTCTCATTGTCCCTGTCTTTTCACCTGACAGTTCCACACCAACTGCATTTGACTCCTCGCCCTTCTTTACCAGTCCCTTTGCCAGGAGCGTTGCTAAACTGTCAAACTGCTCAGAAATTGTGCCATCCCATCGAAACCAGACCATGCTTCCAAGAGTTGCCTAGTGACTTAGTCTCCTTTCTGAAGTTGGCCCACTGCTAACACTAGTGAAAAAAAACACTAAAAACATGACAGATGAGTTGTTTAGAACATGGATCCAGAGAAGTAGGAAGCATTAGAATTACAGAGTTAAACCAGGTTCCTTTTCTGTTCCTTGTCATTGTTCCTGTTGTTCTTACTGTTTTTTGTTTCATACTTCCTAGAAACACAAAAAAATAGTTTTTCCTAACCACTTCTTTCCAAAAACCTGAGACCTCATGTATTTTTTTAACTAACATTGATTTCCTTCAGGAGACAACCTTTTTATAATTTTTTTTAACTTGTAAAAGTTTTAAGAGTCAGTGATGAAGAATAAAATTTGTCTTGATTTAAGTCATTTAGGGGTCTAGGGTGTGTAGCTCAGTGGTAGACAGCTGCCCAGTGTACCCAGGCTTGGGCTCCATCCGCAGCGCTGCTGAAACAAAAAGAGGAAGTAGTTTAGGGATCGCAAGATTTAATCAAGTGTTTTATTCAGGGTTGTTTATTTTCAGGTAACTTAGCCATTTCAGTACTAACCCAGCAGTCAGAATCACCCTTCTAATAAACAGTAGCTGTTGGCAGCCTCGGCACCTGCTGCACCTGCCAGCTGTGGCCCTGGTGGCTGTAGGCAGGGCAGGCGCTGGCTTACAGTGGGTAAATTCACAGAGAACAATGAATGGATAGCAGCAGAAAATGATACTGGAACAGTGGGAATCAGCGGTTTTGCATAGAAAGCTTTGGGAGATGTGTTGAGACAGAATTGGAAAAAGAGGATGAATTTGGTGCCTTGGAAAGTGTGGACGCTGCCAGTGAATTTTGTTGTCCTCCAGCAGGAGAAGTAACTGAAATTCATGAGCCACCTGCAGAGACTCCAGGATGGGCCAGCAGGTCTTGTTCTGAAGACAGTTGGCTGTTAGAGATGACAGTGAGTGACCCTTCAGAATTAGATGAACTCCTGAGTAAAGCAGTGTATGAGAACTATTGAGGAAGGAAATGGCACCCTAAGCAAACTAGTGTGAAGTGACTTCCCCCAACGTAGTCGTCTGAAATTAGTGGCAGACAGAAGACTTGACAGCTTTTAGCAATAACATAATAACAGAAAAGAAAACTCTCTCAACACTACTACTGGAAGAAAATACCCCGTAGCTTTCTATGATTGCAGATAAACATGATGTGTTTATTTTTTATGTACCTTATAATTTTCAGACTAGGCTGTAGGTTCTGATATTCAGAATTCATGAAATTACACATGGTAAAAGCTAGTTATAAAAGATACGTAATTTAAGGAAAATATTCTTATCAGAAGCCTTATATAATATTATAACTTGCTTACATCCCTTCCTGGATTTGGGTCAAAATACTTAAAATGATCTTCCCATCAGAAATAGGAGTGAAGGCAAATGTTAGTTGTACAGTGTTAGATGAAGAACAATACTTTCTGAATTTTACAGTATACTATGTTTGCTGGTGCTGCTTTTATACAGTGAAGCAACAGCTTTGCAGCACAGTAAGAAACAAAGAAAATATTCAACTTATTTTAAAAAACAGCAGCTGGGTATCATGGCACATGCCTCTAATCCCAGCACTCAGGAGCCTGAGGCAGGAGGATCACCATGAGTTCAAGGCCAGTGTATATTACATAGTAAGGCCCTGTCTCAAAAATAAATAAATAAGTGGTTATTTAACATACCAGTTTAAATAGTCTTTCTGTGAAGTGGGTCCCTCTTAAGGAAATAATTTGCCTTTTTTTCTTTTTAATACTATGAAATTAGTACTTTATAACTAAAACATTTCATCAGTTGTAGATCTGTTTGATTGAGAATTACTAGAACTATCAAGAATTCCTGTACTCTTTTTATTTTATTAAATACCCACCTTCTCCTGTGACTGTAAACATCTTCCAGTTTCTCATCCTTTTGAAATTGCCAGGAAGTCCTAAAAGTCTTCACAGAGAAGTAAGAGTGGAGCTTACTCCGCTTTCAGTTGACTTCCCCCCGACACGTGGTGGTTGTATAAGAAACAACCTTTTAGATTTTTCATAGCATATTTATCTTTAAGGGACTTTATTAAATTACATGTATAATGGCAATTAAAATACATTTAATTCTGGAGTAGTGGGTAATTAATTATATTTTTAAACTAAAGTCCTTAGCTTTCAAATAAACATTTTCAAATAAGTGATGTTTGAGGTATCTAAAATGACAGTTTTTAAATCTGCCCAATACTCTGGTTTCTCTTTGATCGCATAAATCTTTCACCTTATTAAATCTGCCCGAGCACAGTCTGCCCTATTCCTAAGTAAAGTCAAATGGAAAATACGACTTAGGTCAGGGGAGGTGAACCTATGGCACATGTGCTGCAGCAAGCTGTCTGTGTCATAGAGCACTCTACAAAGTTCACCATCACTTGCTTAGTCTCAGCCATAAACAAGGGAAAAGAAAATACTCCATTTCCTCCTCTATTTGATTTTTCAGTTAAAGTTAATATTTGAAAATTTTCAAAAAATCACAAGGAAGTTTCTTCAGTTCCTGAGCGTGATGACTGGGTGTTCATGCCGTATGCATAAGATGTGCCTGTCTCAAACCTTGTTACAACATTGGCACATTACAGAAAAAAAAATCACAAGGAATATCAGGTGTTTTACTTCAAATAATGTCACCCTAGTGGAATTACTCCTCACTCTAAGTAAAACAGGTTGAGAGATGAAATCTACAGATTTAAAAATACCCCAAAAAGAATAAGATGACTTTTTCTACAAGCAGAACCATCACCTATTATTCCTATCTTTTGTTTAAATTTTTCTGTGATTTCAGAGACAGTTACAAAAATTATTGATTCCTAAACTATGAATTCCTTTTGTCTCCCCTACCCATCTACTCAGAATCTGATTTTTTTTTTAATGGCATTTAGAAGAAATAGACTTTTGGTAGGATGATCTTTAGTAGGATAATTTAGAGAAAAAAGTATTCTACAATTTGACATTACTGTTACACGGTTTATTAGAACTTTCATTCATTGTGGAACGGTTTTCAGTTTGATCCAAACGATAATACATAAAATTCATCTGGGAAATTATCTACAGACTTGGTATTTCATTGATATAGCTGACCCATTTATATATATATATATATAAAAAAAGGGGTCAGCTATATATTTGTATTAGATTCAGAATATGTTGGTGAGATTTTTGTTCTTTGGGGGATTCTTTTTCTTCTTAAAACTATTATTTTAAGTTTTCACAGTAGAACACCTTGACAAAAATGAAGTATATAAATCTTAACTTTCCCATTGACTTCATTTGATGAAATATTCTGCTAGATACAATCACAATGCATAAGAATATTGCAAGTCACTTGAAAGAAATTTATTAAAATACTGAAAATAAAAATAAAATAAAATAAAATAAAATAAAATACTGAAAATAACCTTAAGACCATAAAATATTTAAACTATAAGCAACAATGATAAGAATGTTTAAAAAAATTAAAAAATGTTTTTATACAGAGTCTGCCCCAAAAAATGTATACACACTGCAGGAAAAGAAAAATTTGTATAAATACTTTAATACTAAGTTATTGAGACATCATGAGATTAATACAAGTTACCTTTGCCCTCTGCAATTACAAGAGGTGCTCAAAGTGTTGGCCTTTAGCTTCCAGACATTTATGAGTATGGTGAACTGCTGTTTGGGTACCCTTGGTCACTGAGATTACTGCATAAGCATTTTCAATTTCTTCTCTAAGGGCCAGCAATGTAGTGGGTTTTCTGTGATATACGATATCCTCTAGGGTCCCCCAAATGAGGGTAACACATCTGTGTGAAAAACCATTGCACTATCCTTTTCTGAAGTGTCTATACAATTTTTTAGCAGGCTTTATTTCTAGTGCAACTTCCTATGATTATTTTCTAAAGGTTTTACTTACCAAGGTCTTAGCAGTTTTGCTTTTTTTGGTGCCAAACTCTAATCCTTTTAACTGGAAGGTAAAGTTCTTTTATACTGTGTTGATCTTTTGACTCAACAGTACCTTGGTTAATTGTTAAAACTAACCCTCGGCTGGAAAGAGCATATGTCTGCAATCTAGTTAGCAGTTGTGGTCAGAGTGGGAAAACAAGTCTTAATGATTAAAAATTGTTTAGGGGCTTGTTGTCCTGGGCTTTCAAGTCAGCAGCTAGGTGCCATTCCACTTCCACGGTTTTCTAGTTGTATGACTTTGAGTAAGTTACTTGACCACTGTAGACCACACCTTACCAATAAAATAAAGATAATTAATAGCATATGCCTCATAGGGTTATTATGAGATTAGAGGAAAATGTATAGAGTGTAGAGTGAGGCACCAGACATATGTCAGCTGTTCACAGTTACTGCTGTTACAGTCATGCAAATCTTAGGATTCAGCCAGCTAATCCTTAGCAATCTGTTACATATTGGGACATGCTGACATTCTCTAGCAACCAGTTTGGAGTCTAATAGCATCAAAAATTGGATAGGTTCTTCCTAGATTGGTTATGCCTAGATTAGTGTATTCATATAAGTGATTGCCTGGAGGCTCATCAGAAGTTCTGTTAATACTTGGGAGGCTGAGGCACGAGGATTGATGCAAGTTTGAGGCCGGTCTGGGCTATAAAGTGAGCTCAAGGCCAGCCTGAACTGCATAGTGAGACCCTGTCTCAAAAAGACCAAAAAAAAAAAAAAAAAAGTTTCTGTCAAAACGTTACAGCCGACTGAATTCTGATAGTTGTAAATTAACCAACCCCCAGAAATTAACTGTAGCATATATAATAACAGACACTGCCCTTCAGTTATAGGTGGAAGATGTATACAAGCTGGTAGATGAAAAGTAATGCCATGAAGCTCTCACATTCACTAAGCTAGAGGAGTGTGATACCCCAAAGGAATTTATGGTTTACATAATTCCTTATGCAGAAAATTCTTTTCAGTGACATGTGCCTACATTAACTTTTGGTAGTTGGAAAGGTGAGTTTAACTAGAAAATGGAAGGTGTAATACACACAAATCATTTGAACTCCTAATTTTGTCTTTTATAAAATGAAGATAATGCCTGCTTCTCTCTTCCTGATAGTGGCATTATAATAATATAAGAACTGAAAATGAGTGGATAATTTAGAGAAAAAAGTATTCTACAATTTGACATTACTGTTATACGGTTTATTAGAACTTTCATTCATTGTGGAACAGTTTTCAGTTTGATCCAAACGATAATACATAAAATTTATCTGGGAAATTATTTACAGACTTAGTATTTCATTGATATAGCTGACCCATTATATATATATATATTTGTATTCTTTCATGAGTTTCAGCCATTTGGGGTTTTAAGTATTGGTGATGTTCTAGAATTGTAATAGAAAACTAGTCACCTTTCAGTGAGGTTCAAATGAGGCTTTTGTAAGTTGAGATAACTCTTTTAAAATTAGCTCTTGTCCTCCCTCTACAGGAGAATTTGCAGCCTTCAAGTAGCCACACCGTCACGGCAGCATCTACTCTTTATTTCTTAACTCTTGTGTTCGTACAGTTCATTAACATCAAAA